ACGAGAATCCAGAGCCATCACTAACCTGCTAAGGGAGACAGGAGGGGTGCAAGGACAAGTACCAGGCATCCCAAGCTCTAGTCTAGGCTCTGCCATGCATTGGGACCTGGGGCGGGTCCCCGCTTCTCGACTCTGAGCTCCCTACACCCCTTGAGTTTTGGCATTCCTTATTCTATTATTTTAACATATTGCTGGGTTGCTTACAGAGGTCAGCTGAGGGGACACAGAGGCACTCAAGCATGGACAGTAGCTGAGGCAGAGGGCTCTTGGGGACCTTGGACACGGAGACTGCCTGGTACTTGGCGCCCACATAGCCAGCAGGCACGGGCCCGCTTGGTGCCGAGGAGGCTGACATTTCAGCGCTGCCTGCCAAGTTGCTGCGGGCTGGCACGCAGTAGCAGTGGGGGGTGGGTGGGCATGCCACGGTCTTGGAGGATGAGACAGGTGACCTTCTGTACCAAAGCCAAGGAGGGAGTAGCTTAGCCCCCAAGGACCTTCCCGATGAGGAGCCTCCTGCCCGTTTGAGTGTGTGTGTGCGTGTGCTCCCATGTGCAAGCATCAGGCTAAAGGCTGCACCAGAACAAAGAGCTGGGGGCTGGGTATCTGAAGGGCCCACGTGGAGACGCCTGACTTGGCGGTTTGCTGCAGTCTGCTCTGTGCTCACGCGCTCGCCCTCTCTCTCTCTCTCTCTCTCTCTCTCTCGCTCTCCCTCTCACACACACACACACACACCCGAACAGCACTACCCCCAGGTCTGAGCTCCTGCTCCAGAACCCACCAATGCTGGCGCGCACAGCCCAGCCCACCTCACCGCCATCTCTCCTGACAAAGCACCGCTCCTCGCTGCATGATCTCATCCCACCGGCCCTCATCTGGCCCCAGCTTGGCCTCCTGACAAGAGACAGACAGGGAGATGAAGCAGGAGAAGGGATTGGGGAGGCAGGCAGAGAGAGAAGGGGAGAGATACATACAGATACATACAGACATGAACACAGCACACCCCGACATACACACAGACATGCTCGCCACCACACACACAGACACTCACGACACACTCGCCACCACACACACAAACACGTGCGTGCAAACACAAACACACCACAAGGAGAGAAGTCTGAGAGCGGCAGGGAAGGGAAGGACAGAGACAGATATACGATATCAGAGACCCTCAGAGAAAAAGAAGAGGGAGATATTAGAAGGGTAAAAATTGTATAAGCCAGTCAGACAGAGTGGGAGCCCAGACAGAGACAGAAAAATAGCAGGGTAGAGAGGAGGCACAAGCTGGCTGCAGGAGCTCTGAAGACAGAGCATGTCCTAGAACTATAGAGGCCTGGCTGGGAGGCCAGCTGTAGTCAGCGTGGCCAACACACACACACACACACACACACACACACACACACACACACACACACACACACACACACACACACCCTGAGACCACGGAGACCCTCACGGCTGCAGCTGGAAGTGCGGTTACAGCAGGCCATACACCCACAGAGCTTTGGGAAAGACAGCAGAGATGAAACAGACTTGCTGGGGCAGAAAGGGCCTTGGAGGAGTTGAGAACCATGTTGGGGAAAAGACAGACAGAAGCAGAGAAGGAAAGCTGGAAAGTAATATCTACTCGGCACCCACTGTGCGTCAGGTATTAGCTGAGCCCCTTGCTTCCCTGATTACGAAATCATATTTAATCCTCACAGGCAGCCTGTGAGATAGGCATATAATCCCTCTTTACAGATGAGGCCACAGTTCCAGGAGATAGGCAACATGGCAGACAGGTGTCATGCTAGAGCTGCCTCTAGAACTTTGGGTCACCGTTCTGCTCCCCTTGGCCTCCACCCCTCTGATGGTCTAGCCTGACCCCAGCAGACCCTTTATCCAGCCAAAAAACCAGCAGCTGAAGCCTCCCCCTTCAGACTGGCACTCTGCCTTCCCAGAACAAAAGCCAAGTACAGGGATGACTGGTATCTTGAAAGCTGCAAGGCCCATCTTCTCAAGGGGTGAGGGTGGCCTGTGAAAGGTGGTTAGTCATGGCTGTCAGTGCTGATGAGGGTTTGACTCCTAATAAGAGATACTCAAGTGACAGCTAAGCCACAGGCATTGCCGGGCCTCAGTGTTCTCAGCTGCAGAATGGGTATCCTGAGAACTCACTTCAGGGGCCCAGGGCATAGCCTATGACTTAATAGACACAATGCAGGAAAAAGGGCTTCATAAACTGTAAAGAGCTGTGTACAATGAAGGTACAGATGGAGGAAAGAACAAATTGCTTGTTTTAGGAGAAGTGATACTGGAAATAACACTTAGAAGAGGGCAGGGCCATGTCGAAGAGACTTGCATGAAGGGAAAAGCTCTCCCAAGTGGAGCAGCTTCCCAGATCCTGATCCAGGAGAATAGAGGCCTCCTAAGTCTAGGTCCCTGACCAGCCCCAAAGTCAGTTCGATGGAATGAGCAGAGCCATAGGCCTGGAATCAGGAGGCCATGAGTTCAAGTCTCAATTCTATCATTTATGAGCTGTGTGACAACAGGCAAGTCACAAGACCTATCTGAGCTTTGATTTCATCATTCATAACTGTAGATAATACCCTGTGTCTCATGAAGCTGGGCATGAAGCAAGATACAGAAGAACACCCAGCATGTACCAGCAGAGGCATGAGAGACGCCTGAGGGAGGGACTGAATGGGGCCCTGAGCCTCTCCTCCCCCATTGGGGAGCAGCTAGGGCCTCTGAGACAGCTGGCTGTCCTGTTTTCCCCCTACCCCTATGGCCAAGCTTTCCTGTCTTGGTTTTGCCTCATACCTAGCCCTTAGATTCATGCCTTTGTCTCTACTCCACTCCACAGGAAGTGGAGTCTTCCTAGTCCAGCCACCGGCATCCTTATCCTGATGTTTCCAGCAATCTGCTAACTGGCTCCTTGCATCCACACTGCCCTTCCCTCTGTCCCTGCCCAATCTGTTCTTTTGTAGCTGGACTGATCCTTGCCGAATAAGAATTTAGCTAAGTTCTCATTACTCTTAGGACAAAGACACAACCCTCAAGACAGGCCCCATGTGTCTAACTGCTGCTGACTTTTGCCTCTAGGCTCTGGAACCACTGTCTTTCTTTTAGCTCTGCCAAAAGCTGTATTTCCTTCTACCTCAGGGCCTTTGCACAGGCTGTTCCCTTTGCCTGGGAAGAAGCTCTTACTCCTTTTCTTAACCTACTCAACTCTTATCCAACCTTTGGGTCTCAGGGAAGCCTTCCCCGACCCCCAAGTGGTCTTACGGTATCCTTGAGTTTTCCTTCATGACACTTATCATGGCTTGAATTTACACACACACCTGTGATTATTTGATCAATGTTTTCCTATCCCTTTAGACCAGGGGTCAGGAAACTATAGCATATCACCTACTTTCATAAAGAAAGGTTTATTGGAACTAGCCACACTTATTTGTTTACGTATGTCTACAGTTGTTTTGTATGGCCTGCAAGGCCTAAACTATTTACTATCTGGCCCTTTACAGAAAAATTTTGCCAAACCCCTTCTCCAGACTGTGGTTTCTCAAGGTGGGGCCATGTTTGTTTTACTCTTCATTGTAATCCAGCCCTGGCCAGGTGCCTGCACAGAGCAGGTGCTTAACGGAGACATGGATGCATGTTTTTTTGATAATTAACAATTTTTACCTTGTCAAAATTGTATTGACTTAACTTATTGTTAAAATTGCAGATTCTATCAGAATAGACATCACTTATAAGATTCCAAGACCTTGTTCTGGCAAGCAGTTCAATACAATAACAATATCCCAGCCTAGGCAGGCGCATCCAGGATCCCACAGTAGCTACTGGCTGGTAAGACCTCACACATCCTTTATAAGCGCCCCATAATCCCAGTGCACGGACTGTCAGCATACACGGAAGGGAGCCCACACCAGCATTCAAGAGAGTAGGGGTTGAGCAGACTTAATGAAAACACATCGTGAGATGTCCTTTCAACATTTTCATTAAGGCTGTTTCTATATAGACTCCAAAGAAATGATTGACGAATTCAGAGAAAACGTCTGTTTTACTGTTATGTGGAGGAAATAATTGATTTTTTTCTTTTTCAATGAATTGTTCTGACAGATAAAGAATGTTAAAAACATCTAGACACTATGCTGGGCACTGTACATATTTCTAGGACTTATAGTGATCCTTGCAAAGTAGGTCTCATTGTCATTCTTGCCTTCCAGGGGAGATAAACTGAGGTTCAGAGACCACATGCTCAGCAAATAACAGGGCTGGCTCGTGACAGGTCTGTCGGAGTTAAAGCTTACATCACATTCTCTGCTTCAGCAATGAGGATGGTGGGGAATGTACAGCAGTACCTTTAGCGGGCATAAAGCCCTCATGGACAGAATATAGCCGGGCACCTTCCCTGACCTCTGTTTAACATGGGGTCATGAAGTCACGTTCGGTGACAAAGTTGCAATGGAGAATGCAGAGCAGGCTGTTAGAACCCGGAATGTACTGATTTGTTTTTATTTTCATTTGTGTTTTATTTTAAATAATTTTTTTTGAATGAATGCAATGGAGTGTCACGGTTAAGATTAACTACTCTGGAGTATGGGCCTGGGCATAAATCCCAACTCTGCCACTTTCCAGCTGTGTGACTTGGGGAAATCTCCTCAGCTTCTCCGAGCCTCAGTTTACTTGTCTATAAAATTGGGATGACTGCAGTGCTCATGCTCAGGGGTCACTGCGGTGATGAAATGAGATAATGCATGGTTTCTGTTAGCCTGTTGCTGGGGTGTGGTGTGCCTTGGGCCCCTCACTGGCCCTGAAGTTCCCCCCGTTCCCCCACCCCCCAACAGGTAAGGATACTTTCTGAGGTGAGGGTCAAGCCCCACCTGTTGGCTCTGGAGGCTCACACCACACATGGACAAACTGAGGTATCAGCCAACAGGGGCAGCAGACAGCCCTGGGTTAGAGTCCAGTTCTCCTCCCTCCTCCCGATGACATCCGTGGAGCCCCCAGTGGTCACCTACCGGCAGACTTCGGAGTGAACTTATCTCGGTTTGCAGCACACACAGCCAACAGTCTATAGCCGAGGTCCAGGTCGAACCCTTGCTGAGCTGCCACCCGACTGACCACCTGCCAGCAACAGGGGAAGAAAGGGCAGGGGTGAGTCAATGCCCACACCCGGCCTCTGAGCCCAGAGTGGCAGATGTACCTATTTTATAGGTGAGGTGGGCAGGCTAAGGCAGGTCCCCAAGATCTGGCAGAGTAGGGACTCAAACTGCTTTGTTCAGTCACTCAGCAAAATTGACAAACCCCTCTTCCATGCCTTGCGATCCCAGCCTCTACTCTCCAGGGTTTCTAGTCTAGTGGTGGGCCTGACCCCAAAGCCCAGGCTCTGCCACTTTTAAGGGCTCAAATGTGGCCACATTCTAGCAGTTGGCTGGGGATGCTGTACCATGTGTTTTGGACACCCCAGGCCAGGGTCTCTTTTCCTCTGGTGTAGCTCTTCAAACTCCCTTCCAAGTCCCCAGCCTCCAGGAAGTCTCCCGTGCTCACCACCTCTCCCCTGTCCCTTACAGAGCCTCCTGCACCTGCCATCGTGGGGCACTCGTTACCCCCGCTACACTAAGCAAGGTCCCCACCCAGAGCATTGACCTCTCCTGAGTCTGAATCTGTGTGTAAGGAGAAGCACTGACTTAGGACACACAAACTCCATGGAGCCTCAGCTTGGAGCTGCCCGATGGACAGCTGACACTTCCCCAGATGGACATGACTAACGCTCCTCAGTGCTTAGCTCTGGGCCAACCGCT